AGTCTTTGCAGACAAATCACAATTAAAAGAGTAAGTTTTGTCATTTCATGTCTCAATAATCCTTAGCAACAAAACTTTGTAAGTCCTGATTATGTAAGATTATGTAAAGATCTAAGAAAATTTAATGAAAATTACAAAATCAACCAAACGTTTATATGTCTAATTGTTTTTCTTTTTATCTTGCAGCAACACACCTCTTGCTTTTTCTTCCAAAGTATGTTATGTTAAGTTTCGTGACCCATCAAGTGTTGGCGTGGCCCAGCATCTAACTAACACGGTTTTTATTGACAGAGCTCTGATAGTTGTTCCTTGTGCAGAAGGTTGGTATTTCATATGTTTTTTCTATTATTTTAATCTGTCCTCTGTTAACTGCCTTTGCTTTCTTAGAAATTGGCAAGTAGATAGAATTCTGGCATGTGTGTATATATGTGTTTGTGTGTAGATGTATGTGAGAATGAAATTTGGAGAAGACTTTAAAATGGTTCACTTGTTACTAAACAAAAGTTTAATAAACAGCTAAACATTTAAAAATTTTATAGATTCCTTGGCTTCTCTGGTTTACTTTGGTTTTCTGTAGTCAATTTGTAAGCTGTTAAGAAAGCTTTCTGAAATTAAAGAAAAATTAGGTTGGTTGGGGAAATTATTTTAAATGTGTAAATAAATAAGCACTTGCCTCTTTGTGCACCATATTAATATTACATAAATAAAAGGTGTACACATTTTGTCAAATTGGGGTAAGTGATATTTATGGTTATAAGAAAAACATTCACGTTCACAATTGAAGCTTTAAAGTATTCTCTCAAGGTAGTTTGCCTTGTAACTGAGACCATTATTTCATATTCAGGGTAATTCTTTGCTATGCAACTGGAATTTACTTTTTTTCTTCTGGCTTTTGTGGGGGAGAGTGTTGTAATTGGAAAAAAAAAATCATGAAAAGCAAATTTCCTCCATCAAAGAAATAGTTGTTGAAGATGTGAACAAGGCTGTGGCCTTGTAGTTATTTGTGAAATTTTATGGCTTAACCTGCTTTAAGAGCTAATTATTACTAATATTTATTTTTTAGTAACTTCTATTTACAGAGCCACTCATATAATAAGCTGTGCCGATTTGACAGTTCTGGTGTGTAATTCAGTTTTATTGAGAGCACTGACTATGGCATGTGTACATAGATATTAGAATTGGGTTATTACAATTGAAATGTCTAAATTGTATTTTTACTGGTGGATAGTGGTAACTTTACAGCATAAAAATTTTACCTGAAACAATTTGATGTACTTTCATATGTAATATTTTAAAACCTCTTTGAAAAACCAGGCTAACATTAAAATAACATGTATAATAGACAGTTCACTATACTTTCAAGATTTTATGTTTATTTCGGAATGCTATTCTGAGATGTTAAAGCCACATACAGCAAATACTCTGTTATTTTTGGAGTTCCAAAATGGAACATTCTGGGTATTTTTCACATAAATAATTCCAAAGTACTTTTCCCATGCCTAGGAGTTAGAGTGGGGTAGAGAGAATAAAAATATATTAATTTTTTGCTAAATCTCTCCTTATCTACTGATCTGTAAGGGGGCAGTGAGCCCAGAATTGGAGAGCAAGGTGAGAAAAGATGTGGTAATGATTTAGTTCTGCAAATCAAGTTCATACCAATTTCATACCAAGTAAACTGCAGGGGGGGAAATCAGGTAGAATGTTTATTAAATGAGAATATTAATTATTAATGCCATCAGCAAAATGTCACCAGCAGCCCAGGTTCTGTGTTATGTTTGCTTTTTACTGAATTAGAAGGAGGAATTTTACCAGATGTTGCTTTGTTGGAACCTTACTATAGTCCCACAGAAATTTTTTATATAGTATTTGAGAAGCCCTGGCTGTGATTTGTCATAAATATTCAAGGTTATTGGCAGGTAGAGGTTCCTGTTTTGTTAATTTACTTGAGAGCGATGAATAAGTGAACATTATGCTAGCTTTTGACTCTAATATTTTGAGACAAAGTTTTGCCATTTTTGAACATAAACATTTAAATATTTTTATTGCAATTTAGTTATAAGTATTTTAGAATACTTAGAATTGGTATTAGAAAAACATTGAGACATAATTTTTCATTAAACAATATAAAAAAGAGATGAATTTATAGAACCCAAAGAATGTTATAGTGAACTCTTAAAGATCTGATTATACACTGCAAGCAAAATAATACTGTATTATATTTTGTACCAAAAAAGATAAAGTGAGTTTGAAATAAACCAAAGGAAAGAGTTCTATTGGAGTAAATTCTATGAATGGTGTACTGTGGTGCTGTAAGCAGTGTTCTGTTTCCTTCACTGATTGCATTCTCTCCTTGACATTGTAGAAACAGCATTATGAAAGAAATGAGAAAAGCATAGGGAAAAAATTTAAGGAAAGTTTTTCAGTTTCTTTCAATTTGCTGTTTTTTAAAAAAAAAAAAAAATATATATATATAATTATGAGATGATCCTAAGCTGTATAAGTAATGTTTGATGTGTAATAGTTTCATACATCGTAAGCATTAGCTATTGTTAATAAAACATGCCATTGCAAAATAAAATATACTTTTGTTATACTTGTCCAAATATGACCTCTTTTTGTTGTTGTGTGCATCTCAGATTTATTTTTATAAATGTTAACACTTAGAAAACGATAAGGTCAGACATAACAAGGGTGTCAGCCTAATCATCAGTCATAATTTTATGTCCACATTTTCTGGTAGATGGATTTTGACTATTAATTTGGTTTTGTATGTTTTCTCTATGTGATATTTGTGCATTATTAGATGACTAGACTGGCCAAGGCAGACCTGTTACACTTGCCTGACACTTGCCTGAGTTAGGCATTGTTTGCCATGCCACTAAACCGGCCGTCAAGTGAAACCTTCATTGGGGAAATGAGATCGGAGTCTGAACCGCAGAAGATGGACGCCCTGTCTCTGTTTTTTATTGTTTTACTTTAATTTCATTTCTTTTTATTTTGTCCCTTTTTTGTTTTTGTTTTGTTAAATCTCTTTCACTTTAACTTGTGAACTGGTTTCCCAGTTCTTTGTAAATGGTATTCCATTAAGGGTTCATAACATTGCATTGCAAAATATATGGGGAGATGATCAGCAGTGCTCAACCTTAAGATAAAATGAGTTTTCACAGTAAATTAGGATACAATGTTAGGAGGCTGTGTAGGAGTCTTAATTGGTGTTCATAGACTGAGTAGGCACATTTTGTTCTTGAAACATTGATGTGATTATTAGAAACATTTTCTGATCTCAGTGCAACATTTTTGCAGTTTTTCTTCCAAGTCTACATCTTTTTAAAAAAACCCAACTGATAGCATCCTTTGCCCTAGAATTTTATAGGCATACGGAATCGGGGAGAATAAGTAAATTTCTTACAACAATCTGGGGGTAGAGGACACAAAGAGACTTCTACTTTTATGATAGTTACCCATTATAGAAAATAACATTTCCTTGATTTATAAATACTTCAGTTGCCTACAAGGAAAATGGATATTAAAGAAACTATTGAATACTTGTGTATGTTTCTCTGTTTGCTTAAGCTTTTTGTTTAACTTTTTGAAAAATACTCAAAAGTTACTAGGTTTTAAAAAGATTCCAGGAGTAGGACTAGTTCTTCAATACTGTGAGAAACATTGTTCTCTCACTTGTCATTGAGTATAATTTAGGAAAAATGCTAGATGCTCGTTTTATACTTTTATATACTCTGATAGTATTTAGAGGGTAAATTTCACAGAATTCTATCTTGGAAGTTAAGTAATAGAACTTTTTTCAAGTATTTTTAATAAAAAGTAGTGTGCTTATAGTTAGACTTTATAATAGTTTTTTACTACTATGAGAGGTATTGAGAGTCAGATGATCTACTGATACTTTTTTGTTTTATTTAAAGCCAAAAGTGAAAGTCTGTCTATAATATTAAGTATTCAACATTTGGCCTGTGTTGAATACCCTAATATTTTGTTTGGGTAGTCTTTCTACATTCTCTGGTATGGATAATTTGGCTTATTTAATTGACAAATATTAAATTGGGACTTGTACTACATTGGAACCCTTAACTTGTTTTTTTAGATGCATAGAGTAGCAAAGTACAGGGTTTTTTACCTTAGACCTCAGTTGATTTATCAAGATGTGTTCAGGTTTTATAAACATTTAAAAAATAATTCCTATTTGTAACAAAACAGGTCTGACAACAATATATGTAGTATAGTATATTTGTGGGTTTACAGATGTATGTGTTAATACTAGTAACTAATAAATATAAAATAAATTATTGTTACTTGATGTTTTCAGTTAGGCCTACCTACCTTTTATCTTTATGCATGTTAAAAAAAAAACCTGTGCTTATGCAGAATTTACACTGAAATAAAATAACTTTGTTTTTGAAATTAAAGTAATATAGACTTAGATTTTGCAAAGCTTAGAAAAAAGTAGGCATTTGTTAAAGCTATTAAAATGTCATTTTCTTGTTCCTATAAGTAAGATGTAACCATTATTTGAAGCAAGTTTTAAAATCCATCTTGAGTTCCACTCATGTTTAGAGATATATTTAGATAATATTGTTTAGAGGTTTATCTCTGCATATCTGGTTGTTTCAAATAGTGTTTTTACCACTAAAAGCCAGCATGGTGCTTTTGAAAATTTATTCCATATGCTATTTTCAACTTAGCATGACTTTGTACAGTGTTTTAAATCATTTTTGAAGAATTCATAATGGAAATGCGTAGCCAACTAATTATGAGTAGTTCTAAAATAGCTATATGTAATCAACTTTTTTAGAAACAACTTCTTAGGGGGTGGGGTATAAGAGAGGTCTAGGAAAAATGTATGGAATTTGCAGTCCTTATCAAAGTTAATTGATTAGAATCCAATAATTAAATATGGAAAATTGGTGTACTTATTTAAGAGTAAAATTTTCAGTTTTTAGTCATAGGAATTTTTTTCTTAGTATCTAATATTATTTCAGTGTTACTGTCATTATTGTTATTAGGCATTTGAGATGTTTATAAGCAACACATTTAGGCATCAGCTACTCCTTTTCAGATAAGTATGTGTAAATTGGTTCTAAAAGTTAATGGTTTAAAAGGTTTCCTGAGATTAGGGAACTTCTTTTTGTTAGTTAATCTAAAAAATTTTAGCAGTTTCCCAAGACACATTCTTGGGACCTGGATTCTCTTGGGCATTTCTGACATTGTTGATGAGGTGCCTTATTAACTAAATGAGTACAGGCTTCCTTTTAAATTGAAGCTGATTACATGAAGTAGGTTTTTGTTTTTTTCTATTTAAATTAAATGGAATTTACTGGAAGGGTTATCAAAATTGTTTGCATCACAAGTAGGTAGTTTCAATAACAGCATAGGGGCACTCAGGAACAAATTTCAATTTGTTTTTTCTTTTTCTTTTTTTTGACTAATTTGGTTATTTGCCATTTCTGGGGATTAAACTTTAAAAAATGTTCTTCTTTTCTGTATCTGATGTTCTGTGTGCTATTAGTGATGCAGCCAACACGAACGGTTGTCATGTGTAACACAACTTTCGATCACCGCGAAAACACCGTCCTGGGAAAGCGTCCATGCTTGATATCGTTTGGTTCATGAACATTAAGTTTCCAGTACAGGTGACCCATAGCTCAAAGTGTTAAATAATTGTCTACATTATTCAATTTTTAAAATAATATTCCATTAATGAGATTGTTAGTCTTTGAAGTTTTGCTCACTTTTATTTTTCCTAGTAGAGCAGGATAAAAGGAAAGACTTAAGTTCTAATTTATTTCTTTATACGAATCTGATAGATTCATTTATTATTATTATTATTTTTTAAGTGCAAGGGTAATTGTAAATCATAGTGTAAAGTTTGTGTGGTGTTTCTGCTTTTTGTAATGTTTGGAACTTGCCTCTGCAGGTAAAATCCCAGAGGAATCCAAAGCCCTCTCTTTACTGACTCCTGCTCCAACCATGACAAGTCTGATGCCTGGTGCAGGCTTGCTTCCCATACCAACCCCAAATCCCTTGACTACAGTAAGTACTCTGTATCCTCTTCTACAAGGGATGAATGTTCAACTCTCTGATCAGTTGAAAAAAGAGCTTTGAAAATTTATATTTTTACTCTGGCCAGCGTGGTTCCATTGGAGTGTCATCCCGTAGACTGAAGGGTCCCGGGTTTAATCCTTGGGCACATACCCAGGTTGTAGGTTGGATCCTTGGCTGGCATGTATACGAGAAGGCAACCAATTGATGTTTCTCACATCGATGTTTCTTCTTCTCTCTTTCTCTCCCCTTCCTCCCAACCCCGCCACCCTTTCTTTCAAGAAGCAATGAAAAAAAGTCCTCAGGTGAGGATAAAGAAAGAAAAATGAATATTTTTATTTTGAATGTTTCTTTTTAAATGGAGAGGATCTGAAATGTCTACTTAATTTTTTTCCCCTCATGTGTCACCGACTTAAACTACCTTTTGGAATTTTGAAGTAATTGAAAATTTATTTAAATTTGAAAACTAAAATTGATGATTTGCTAGAAAATCAGTTTTTGAAACAGCATTTTAGATAGCATGGTGGATTGGAGAATCTAGGTGACGGTAGTTCCCAGTTCATGAGGACTATATTTATTTCAAAAATATGAACTGATTCACAGCCTGGTAATGGGAAAAAATATCTAAGAGAAGGATTTATCTGGGAAAATGTTAACAAGGTAGAAATATGGCAAAATATTTTTTCATTAATTCTGGAATTAGTAATTTAATGCCTCCTTTATGATTTCTGAGTGGGGTTAAAAAAGATATTGCTGTTAGCTGTACTCTGGGTTTTTGTGTAAAAGATTCTAATTTATATTTATTTTAAAAGAAAGGTTGTTTTTCTTCAAAAAAACTCAAGACAAAAGATAAATCTTAGCTTAATTGTTTTATCTAGCTTTGTGTACTAGATTATTAGGGAGTAAACTCATAAGCTTTATGATTGTAGTTAAATTATCCAAGTTACAAAAATGGATTCTGAAGCTTTGAAGTACAAAATTTTAGGTCTTTTTATTTTTACATGACATTGTCCTGCTGCAGGAGACCTGCATTGTGATTTGTAGGGGGAAATGCTTTTTAATTCAACAGTTTTATCATTTGCATTGAACTTTCTAGAAATTTTATTTCAGGTATATTTTGGTAAATTTTAATATGTTAATTCCTAGGTCACTACCTTCCGCACTCTCAATATTTTCTTGCTGTCTTGAAAATTCTTAGTGATTTCACTGTTCAAATTAGCTCCCAAGCGTAGTCCAAAAGTGCTGCCTAGTGTTGCTAGGGGCTGCAAGGCTGTGATGTGCCTTACAGAGAAAATATGTATCAGACAGGGTTCATTCAGGAATGAGTTGATAGTGCTTTTGACAGTGAATCCACTGTTAATCAACAATGTATATTAAATAAGGTGTCTTTAAACAGAAATACGTACAAAACAAGGTTATGTATTGGTTGATGAAAATATTGTGACCAGAGGTTTGTAGGAACCTAGCCCTGTATTTTTCCTAGGAGTAATGATTCAGTATTCAATAATATAGTGTTTGTGGCACCTTTATAAGACATAACTATTGCAAATAATGAGAATTCACTATCTGGTTTTAGTGTTCAGTTTAAAAGGAGGTAAAATACCCAGATAGTTAAGAAGTACTTTGCATTTCTTAATATATTTAAAGCTACTGTGACTTCACTCTCAATAATTCAGACGTCTACCTGGTTTAAAGTTAGGAGTCCCTAGTTTCTTCCCATTCTTGTTGAGTTGATCACATCTGGTCAAGATTAGAGAATGATAACTTCTATAAATATTTTTATTTGTTTATTACTCAAGATTTTATTTATTTTTAGAGAGAGGGGAAGGGAAAGAGAAAGATAGGGAGAGAAACATTGATCCATTGCCTCTTGTACCAGCCCTGACTACGTACGGAACCTGCATCCCAGGCATGTGTCCCGCCCGGGAATCAAACCAGTGACCCTTCTATCTGCAGGGCGACACCCAACCAACTGAGCCACATCAGCCACAGCGAGAATGATAATTTTTGATACTAACCAAAAATACGTTTCTTTTTTTTTAAATAGCTGGGTGTTTCCCTTAGCAGTTTGGGAGCTATACCAGCTGCAGCACTAGACCCCAATATTGCAACACTTGGAGAGATACCACAGCCACCACTAATGGGAAATGTTGATCCTTCCAAAATTGATGAAATCAGGAGAACAGTCTATGTGGGCAATTTGAATTCCCAGGTAATGAAGAAACTTACTCTTTCCCCCTTCTTAAAAATCATACAGATTGATAAAGTAGTATCTGATTTTTTAAAAAAGAGAATGTATTAAAGTGTTACTTTGTTTCTTTAGACTACGACAGCTGATCAGCTTCTTGAATTTTTTAAACAAGTTGGGGAAGTGAAGTTTGTACGGATGGCAGGTGATGAGACTCAGCCAACTCGGTTTGCTTTTGTGGAATTTGCAGACCAAAATTCTGTCCCAAGGGCCCTTGCTTTTAATGGAGTTATGTTTGGAGACAGGCCACTGAAGTAAGAAACCCTAAACAAAGAAATTTTAATGATTTTGAAAAACTTTAAAGTATTTTTGATGTAATTAAGGCTTTCTTTTCTTTTTAATAGTAATTGGCAATTTGTGGAAAGGAAGACTTTGTGTTAAGTATAAATGAATGCCTGATATACAAATCATTTTAGCCTTTGTGGTTGTATTTGAAGCCATTTTCTAAGGTCTAGTTTAATGTTTTAATATTGTTTACATATCCTACATAATGATTGTAGGTTTTTTTTTTCCATAAGCTTTAACAAGTCAGGTTGGTTCTGTATTATGACTAGACTGATGGACAATTTAACATATGGTTTGAACTTTAATATGGTAATAAGAACTTTGGTAAATCCAACATCCCAGGAAGAAAATAATATTCAGTACCCAGAAATGATTTAAATCATACATTTTGAGTTTTAAGGTTAGCTCACATATTTGTTTGCAAAGTGAAAAATTGATGTAGCCTTTCAGGTAGTCAAGACCAGAAATTCTATTTCATGCAGATTATTGAGGTACCAGTTTTATCTGAATTTCACAGGCAATTGCCTTAGTTACACAGTTTGATCAGGATGCTGCTATTAAAGGATACATATTCATAACTGTTCTTAGTGAATGCTTGTCTTCACTGTCTTCTCATTGTGGAAGGGGGTAAGTGAGGCAGACCAAAGTCATCTATATGCATTAGAGAAACCACTCTTACCTAGTAGAGAAAATAGGCTTTTATCAGACGTCTCCCACATTCAAACTGTGTCTTACTCAGCTGTGGTCCAGCTTCCCCTTCATCTTCCCAGTGTGCAGAGGTTATCAACAAAATCTTACAATCTAAGAATAGAAATGATTCATTTTAATATTGGTGTCAACATTTTAATTTATTGTAAGCTGTGCAGGAAAGAAGTTGTTCTGGTCTGTTCAGGTTGTTAAGTTAGCTAGCATTCAGGTTTTTGGCTTTGTTAGCAAGAAATGATGGCAGGTGGGAATGAGATACATCATGGTTTTCAAATTGGTTTTGGTTATCCTGTATTTAGCTATATTACTCTTAATGTGCTTTCAAGATGTTGATTTATAAATATATGTATTGTGTAAACATTTAATTGTTTCATGTTTTGTAAAAGATGGTGTGTATTTGTGATATGCTAATGTTTTTAATTTAGAATAAATCACTCCAACAATGCAATAGTAAAACCCCCTGAGATGACACCTCAGGCTGCAGCTAAGGAATTAGAAGAAGTAATGAAGCGAGTACGAGAGGCTCAGTCATTTATCTCAGCTGCTATTGAACCAGGTAAGGCCATAGTGTTGTTACATAGGTCATAGTTGAAGATCATAGAATCTTAGAACTGCAAGGAACTTTAGAAATTATCTTGTTCAGTCCCTTCATTTTACAAACAAGAAGACTGAAACTCAAGAATGAGTAAGTGACTTACAAATGCCAAAGGTCAAAGAAGTACTTAGCACAAACATTCTTTTCCCCTGATGCTGAATTGAGTCACATTGGCCTGAGTTAATCAGTTGTTTATACTTAAAGAGCAAAATTAGTGCTTAAAACTGATTTGCCTAAAAGTAAAGTGTAAATGTTATTGCAAGGCTAAAAACAAGAATAAATATATTTAAAATGTGATGATTAAAGAGACTCACTTTATCAAAGCTTTAATTTTAAAAATAAAAAGGGAGTCCCTGATTTAGGAAAAACACACTATTTTAGCAAGGCAAAAAGAGCAAACTACCTCTTCAGACTTTTGTGTTGCTAACTAAAATTTTAAAATCCAGTCTAAAAATGTCTAAGATGGTTTACATTTGAGCAAATTTTCTAAATTAGCACTCAGAATTTAAGCATCAATTCTAGCAAAATAAATGGAGAAAGGATTTAAAATCACTGTTATAGGAATTACAGACATGTTATAATCGTACATTATGGCAGCAACAAAATACTACGAACAGCTGTTTATAATCATCTGGTTTATATGTACTGCTGCAGGGTGGCTGCACTCAACGAGTTTATGCAATGACTTTCTTGGATGTTTCTGAAGGATAATTGCACAGGAGGAGGATGTACAGAGAGTAGGCCCCTTGCACTATGTGTGGTACATTCCCCTTGTGCCTGATTATTAACTGGGATCTTTAATTGTTCTGAGCTTACACTGCAAAGTGGTTTTTTCCTCCCAGAGTCTGGAAAGAGCAATGAAAGAAAAGGCGGTCGATCTCGTTCCCACACTCGTTCAAAATCCAGGTCTAGCTCAAAATCCCGTTCTAGAAGGAAAAGATCACAATCAAAACACAGGTGAGAATTTCTGTTATTGTTTTAAATTTTTTTAGTTTTGTATTTAAAATAGTTAAAATATCTAAGGTTTTGTCTAAATATCAAATTTAGAAATGTCATAGAGTTCACCGGGAAGTATGGTTACCATTACATATAGCTTTAACTATAATACTACAGTTAAGAATGAAATTTTATCTAATTAATATATAACTTTTATTTCAATTTAATTTCCGTTTTAGAAATTGGTTTTCTGTCTTAATAAGATGCTCTGCTTCTGAATTTTCTAAGAGTAAACTAGTCTTTATACAGAACTGGCAGAAATTTTTCAAGTTGAGGAAAGGGAAACACCACGTGTAGGGGGTGCCGAAAATATCACTGAAGTTGCAGGCCCTGCCCCTCCCACTGAAGGGCTGGGAAGTACCACCACAGACCTTGTTTCCAAGTTGTTACCTATCTTTAGCACTTAGGGACTTCAAACACAGGAGTAGCTTGTGGCTTTAGTTCCAGCTATTGTATTGTGCTTAGCTCTGTTTCTTGTTCTGTTTATCTTACTTTTGAGCCTAGCTCTGTTTTAATTTTCTTTTTAAATCTGTTGTGTGTTTGGCGCAAAGGAGACCTTAATATGTAAGCTTGCAAACACCATCTTTATTGTAAGCCTAAAGTGATAAGTTTTATTGTCTTCTGAAAGATGTGGAGGGGCCGTTACTGAAGTGCGAAGTTACTGAAGTGTGCTAGTGGATCCTAACTGCATGCTGTGTGTACCTTTGTACTTATGTCTAAAGAAAAGAGGTATAGAAAAATGTGTGTACATGTGTATGTGTATGTGGTGTGGGTGTATTAGAGAAGGAGGGGAGGAAACCAGTATGCTGCTCTATGTTGAACCTCACCAGCAAGCTCGGTTTAGTCTGTTTTTCTGTATTAAAGGAGATTGAAACAATGAGATACAAGATTATGATACTCATTTTCTGACTCTAGCAGGATATACTTCTTGTTATTTACTGGTGTATACTTCTCCGTTATTAGTTTGCAAAATCTCTTCTGGGATGTGGTTTTACTATCTATTCCTTACTATTCAAGGCTTGATAGTAAGGCAAGTTCAAATCCAAGTGAAGGATGTTGTTTCATGTATAAGGAATGATGCAGTCCAGCGGAAGCCAGCATTGGAGAAGGAAAGGGGTATAGAAACAGTGATACTAGCTTGTGGATATTACCATAGGTTGACAGTATGTGGTGAACATAATGGTGATCAAGAAAATACAGAATCGAACTGAAGGGTAACAACTTCTTTTCTGAGGAAAAAAAGGACCAATGACCTGAATCTCATTATGTGTTGATTACGAGAGCCACGCTCCAAATATAATGCCTTAGGGGTTTTCCAAGGCTAGAATAAAGCAAAACTTAATGATTAACGTCATTGTTTCCTTAATAATCTCTGGGAAACTGTATCTGTTAGGGCCAAAAAATTAACTATCCACTTTAAGGTTTTTACTCATCATTGTAAGTGCATTTGGATATTTCCCCCTTCCAGTGGATTGAGCATCCGCCTGCGAACTGAAAGGTCGCTGGTTCAATTCCCAGTCAGGGCACATGCCTTGGTTGCAGGCCAGGTCACCAGTTGGGGATGTGTGAAAGCAATAGGCAACCAATCGATGTGTCCCTGACACATTGATATTTCTCATCCTCTCTTTCTCCCTTCCTGCCCCTCTCAAAGTAAATAAGTAAATGAAAGAAAACCCTTACCCAAAAAATATTTGACTTAAGGATCTTGATATGGAAATGACTCCCCCCAACCCTAGTAGTGGAGGTGGGTGGCAGACATTGATTGGCTTCCTCTCCATTGCTAGTGTGATTTGATACCCTCAGTTCTGACCCACTAGACTTACCAGGAATGTTGGTTGTAGGAGCCCTGGCTCTTGAATGCCCACCTCTTCTCAGTTCTCACTGTTCTCAGGTACTACTAGGTCTCCCCCTCACCCTTTCCCTTCCTTTTGGTTTTTAAAAGAGTTTATGTATTTATTTTTAGGGAGAGGGAAAAAAGAGAGGTATGGGAGAGAGAAACATCCTATAGGTTGCCTTTCTAATGCCCTTAACTGGGGATCTGCCCTGAAGCAACTCAGGCACATGGACTTACCAGGAACTGAATCTGCGCCTTTCGGTTCGCAGGCTGCTCAATCCACCAAGCTACACCAGCTGGAGCTAGTCCTTCCTTTTCTTGTGTTAGGAGGGAGGAAGGGATTTCTTGTCACTGTGACCTTGGCTAGGGCTAGGATGATATGTTTCTACTTTTTGTTTGCAAATTTGTATGTTTTTTTCATAGGGACAGTATTAGGAAAGGTGAGCAGTACTATAATTACTATTTTAAAATTAAGTAACCTTTACAGACCAGCATAGGAACTGTAAGACATTTTATAATTTATGGGAAACAACTGACTTACAAATGATCTTTGATACAACATGATGGTAAGTTGCCCTTTACTCACAGTTAAAGTTATAAATGCAGTTTTGCACATTGCTCTAAAATGAGGACTGCTAACAAATCTTTATCTTTGGTTGGATTAGATTTGCTCTCGATTTGAAGCTTTTTGACTAGAGGGTGAGATAGATGAAAATATTTAATGTCACAATTAAAATACAGTAATTATTCTTGGGCAGTAACTGTGAGGACCTACAGGGTAAGGTAGGAAGCCAAGTGATCAGTGTTATGTTTTTGTTTTTTTTTTAATTTATTAGGGCTCTGCTTAAATTTTTAAAAGGAGTTTCTTTGCTTAATTAAGTTTAGAAAGCATTGTTTGAGTAAAAACAAAATGATTTATATTTTTAGCAAGGTTAACAAGAACAGAAATCTTAAGACTTTTTATTAAGTACATAGAAGCAAAGGCCCTTTATTACATTACCCTTATGTGGACTTCTGTAAATAGACTACAGTGTTTTAAGTTGTGCATTATTGCCTTAATACCCATTACTTGATTCTTGTATCTCTTGGGTTATTAACGCTAAGAATTTCAACAGACTGAATTATATTAAAATTTGGTATGAAGATAAATACATTTTTTTAAAGACAATAGATGAATGGTTTAGTTGAAAATTAGCTCTTGGAAAGCAAATTTTAACTGAACAAAGTATTAAAAAACAAGATTTCATTATTAATTGATGGTTGTCTGGAGGGTTTTCTGGTTTCATAGTATACCACAAGCATTTAACTATATGTATTTCTTTTATAGATATTTGTTTTAATTCATGAAACCATGACTATCAAGATGAGTTTTAATTACATAAAGGTTACTTGTGGAAGCTCATTTGACCTCCTTGGAATAAATATAGAATTTAAAGTTTTCATTTATATTGTTGATGGTGATGATAATATTGAGTATTAAGAATTTTAAACGTGTACTCTGTGCCAGAGACTGCTTAGGCAATTAATTTTCTGTATCATCTGACTTAATCCTCATGAAAGCCCCAGGAGATGTAGGTATAATTCTTATTCCACTTTACAAATGAAGAAATTCAGGCTTAGAGAGATTGACTAACCAGAGTTCTCACAGCTAGTGTGTGGCAGAGCTGAGTGTTAGAGCCAGATTGTCTTGACTCCAAAGCTGGTGAGTCTCATCACTTTGTTATTAAGGTTGTATGCATTCAGTTTTGTTATATTTTAATATATGCTTTCTAGAATATTTCATTATAAAAAATTACATTAATAAATAGTTATTTCAGTGGGGTAAAGGAATAACAATTGGATTAACAGTTATTTTTCCTTGAAGAATTTCAGTAATAAAGATTTCTTTTAATAACTTTGTTTATATAATTAGAAAATCAAGGCCTTGCAAATTCAGCATTTGATTATCTTTAACTCATAAGTAATGATGCTTATTTTCCTCTTACACTAGTATCATCACTAGTACTGTGCTGCTTGTATATTCTTCTTAATGTGTATTATCACAGACAGCACACAGCCATTTATAGAAACTATTGAACCATATAGCCACTACTCTCTGTCAGGATAAGTTGTTATCACCAGTAGTCATTACATGCAAGCCAAGAGTTAAAGACAATTTATGGTGTGAAACTTGGACAATAGAAGTCTTTTATACTAATTGAGGCATATAATAATTAGCAAAAGAGATTTGTATGAGAAGAAGAGACAATTCACAAAACTAGCATTATTTTGCCTTCTGCTTTCACAGAGGTATATTTTGCTGTTTTGTGAGACATCCTCGAGTGGGGGGTGGTAAGAAGGAAAATAGGAAAAGAAAGCAAGCTACACCTCAAAGTATCAACCGAAGTCTGACATAGGAAATAACTTAAATTCTTTCTCTCTTTTTATCTGTGTTCTGGACAATGATCTAGCTGGTAAAGTTTTCAGTAAATTTATTTTAGATAATCTAACTGAAGCATTACATGGAAGAGAATTTTAAAATAATGATATAGACTTTCAGGATAGGTTTTAAAATTCTCTTGAAACAAATCTTAAATTTTTAAAAATTGAAATTCTAAGGAAAAGGTTTGACATTCTAACAATTTTCTTTTTTTTTTAGGAGTAGATCCCATAATAGATCACGTTCAAGACAAAAAGATAGACGTAGATCTAAGAGTCCACATAAAAAACGGTCTAGGTCTAGGGAGAGACGGAAGTCAAGGAGTCGTTCGCATTCACGGTGAGTTTTTGGAAAATTATGGATAGTGTTTTCATGGTTTCATTTGTTAAAAATCTGTTGCGGTTTAGGTTTTTAATGAGAGAATGAAACTTTTTTTTATTAGTTTTAGTAATAATTAATATTGGTTTTCATTGATTTGACTCTTAAGGCCATTATGACTCATGAGGCTTCCAGGCTACTGGACTTAATTTCACCTGGTAATTGTTTCATTTAGCAGCTTACAGCTGAGTTACATGGAAATTTCTGTGACATCTTAATAAGTTTTATAAATTGTGTTGATAAATATTGAGAAAGGGAGGTTCTTTGAGGAAGTAGAATTACTTCTGTTGTGAATTTACTTAATTATTTTTGTTTTTAAAGGGACAAGAGAAAAGACACCCGAGAAAAGATCAAGGAAAAGGAAAGAGTGAAAGAAAAAGACAGAGAAAAGGAAAGGGAAAAAGAGAGAGACAGGGAAAAGGAACGTGAAAAAGAAAAGGAACGGGGAAAAAACAAGGATAAAGACCGGGATAAAGAACGAGAAAAAGACCGGGATAAGGATAAAGACAAGGAAAAGGACAGAGAAAGAGAGCGGGAAAAAGAGCATGAAAAGGAGCGAGACAAAGAGAAGGAAAAAGAACAGGATAAAGAAAAGGAACGAGAAAAAGACAGATCCAAAGAGATAGATGAGAAAAGAAAGAAGGATAAAAAGTCCAGGACACCTCCCAGAAGTTATAATGCATCAAGAAGATCTCGTAGTTCCAGCAGGTTTGATATGCTTAAAATTTTTACTGATGACAAATGTAAACATGAATTTAACTGAGGGGAAAAGATTATTCTATACAAGTTGAATCAGTACAGTAATATCAGAACATTTTCCTCTGCAGAGAACACATTTCTCGAACAAAAGCTTGCCACAGTATAGAACCTATGAGGAGGAAGGATGGTTGCTATTGGACAAAATTATTTGAAAAGTTCTGCTTATCCTTTTAATCCATTATTTTAACCTAGTGGTGGTGGCAGCAGCAGATGCTAACTTTCTTGGAGGGAGGATGGCAGGGAAAAGTTGGGGTTTTTTTTGTTGTTGTTTTTTTTTTTAATTGGGGCAACATTGGTTAATAAAATTATATAGGTTTCAAGTGTACAGTTCTATAATACATCACCCATATATTGCATTGTGTTTTTACCACCCAAAGTTAAATCACCTTTTGTCACCCTATATTTGACCCCCTTTACCCTTTATACCCTTGAGCCTCCTTTCCTTCTGGTATCTACCATACTGTTGTTTGTATTTATGAGTTTTTGTTTGTCTTGTTTGTTCATTTGTTGCTTTCAGTTTTATATCCCACATATGAGAGAAATCTTAATGGTTCTTGACTTTTTCTATCTGACTTAATTCACTTAGCATGATTTTCTCAATCTCAGGATCCATCCATGTTGTCTCAAATGGCAGTATTTCATCTTTTCTTGGGCCAAGTAGTAGTCCATTGTATATTTGTACCACACCTTTGTCCAAACATCTATCAAAGGGCAGTTTGACATTAGCTTGCACCTGTTAGAATGGCTGTTATGAACAAGACAAGTAGTAATAACAAGTGTTGGAGAGGTTATGGAGAATAAGGAACCTTCATTCACTGGCTGGTAGAAATGTAAACTGGTGCAGCCACTATGGAAAACAGTATGGAGGTTCCTCAAAAAATTAAGAAGAGAGTTACCATATGACTCAGCAGTCCCTATTTTGGGTATCTACCCCAAAAATTTAAAAACATTTACTCTCAAAGATAGATGTACTCTTATGTTCATTGCAGCATCGTTCACAATGGCCAAGACATGGAAACAGCCCAAGTTTTTTCATAATTATAGAAAAATTGACCTCTTAGGCTTCTGTAATTCTTCAGAATGGTGTGGTAAGATTCATTATGCAAAATGATCTCTAAAGCTACAGTGTTTGTCACTTTGTCATCTAAGTTAATTTTTATAGGACAATTTTGTTGAGTGCATCTTGTGTCAGTTTTAAGGTTTTGCTTTTTTCTTGGGATTGTTCCCTTAATTTATTAATAGGTATGCTGCCACCAGGTAGAGTAGGTTCCCATAATAACAGCAGCGAAATGAGGACCTTCATTGGTTTAAGGTTATCTAACCTACATTCATTACTCCAGATGATACTATGACTATAAAGTAAATAGAAGTTTCTAATTTGTGTTGAGCTTTATACTAAAAAATACTAAAATATATATATTAGCAAGTTTGAGATATTTTAAGCATAATTTTTATAGAAAATTATTTGAGATATCTTTTTAAAAAACTTTAATAGCTTATTCTTAGTGCTAGCTTATGGTTAGATAATACAAGATAATCACAAACATTTATTGAATGCTTTTACTATTTATCAGATTTTATGTGTCAGCAGTTTTTCATGACTAATCTTACTTAATCTTACAATAAGCCTGTGGGAAGACTATTGTTATCATGGTTTTAAAACTTGAGGAAGCTTAGAGGAAATTTTCCCTCTTCTTTGTACTTTGGTATCACGAATAGAGTAGCCCTTTCTCTTCTTAGAGATTAAGGTTACTTGAGAATTCTCTAACCAGTACTTGCTGCCTGCTTTAGAAAACTGCCTCATAAGCATAAAGTTGAAAGCAACACTGCATGTTTAAATGGGACTTAAACAGGTCATATTTTAGCACATTTAATCAAAACCTGAAGAATAACCTCATTTACTGTGGGTATCAATTGAGCCTGTGACTGCACGTTTATGACACAGTGATTTTACTGATTGTATGTTACACATTCTTTTGTGTTTATGAGATTGTTTAGGTATCACTGTTCACAATACCAAATAATATTTTGATTCCTTTAAATTTAGTTGAATTTACTTTTTCAGTTGATTATGAAATGTTTAATTTTTTTCATGGCCCATTTTAAAGTTGCTTGATATTTAAGAAAGTTCAGATGTTCACCTTCAGTTTTAAGTATATTCCTAAATAACTCCTCAAGCCTGGAGAATAAATGCTGACTAACATTAGTTCTTAAGAGTTTGGCAGTTTGGAATGTTTCATGCCTTCAGAAGACCTTGGTGAAGAGTTAAAATTTCTCAACTTTTATCATTTTTCTGTTTCTTAAGTGCTCTGATTTAATAAATGGGAAACATTTCAATGGCTCATAAAAATTGTCTACTTAATATTTTTACTTCTAGCATTGTCACCTAATCTTTTTTAAAGAAACTTTTGATATTTAAAAAACTTCTAATGCTTAAAAGTTACTGTTAATAAAGGTGAAACAAGGAAAGGGAAGGAGAAAATACTTATTGAGCACCTCTTATGTGCCGGGCACTATACTTGGCACTTTATTGGTATTATCTTAAATCCCCATAACAACACTGCAAGGCTTGGGTACCTCCATTTACCAGTTGGAAAAACTGAGGTTTAGTTTAAAAGCAATATGACTGCAAATTGTTAGCTGGTAAGGTGTGGAAGTAAGTTTCAAATCTAATTCTAACTAACCACAGTTCTTCATACTACAGACGCTCACTTCTTTCCCAGCTAATTAATATTCTAGGTTGCTGTCTGTTTGGCCTTAGCTCTTATCATCAGCTGGTTGTCATTGGATGTCCACTTATACATAGTGCTTCCTGAACAAGCAAGAATCAGAATGATCAAGGCTGAGCCCTTTTGTGTCAACCTCAAGTCTGGGATACCCTGACGTTCTTATGCTATTAAAAAAAGTATTTCAGGGTCTGGTGCTGAGCTGTTACAGGATAGCATTAATTGAGTGAAATATCGTTACCTAATTTCTTCATCATTCAGAAGTATAATTTTGGGATATTCTGAAAATTAAGTTGGGTAATGGAGGGGAGAGCTTTAGGTAGAGTTGGAATTGACTTATTTGTGTTCTCAAAATTCTTGAACTTTTTTGGTCTTAACATCTACCGTATATACTACATCTGCGTATTATTTAGGTGTTGTTTTTGTAAATTAAAAATAGTGTTTCGTTAACCTAGAGTCCATTTACTGAGTTGGTAAGAACAACTTAAATTCTAGAAGATTAGATTCTTTCAGCTATGTGGCACTACTGAGCAGAACTGCTTGTGAGAGAGCTTTTTGGATACATGAATCATTTAGTAACTATATCCTCATACCTCATCCCCTGAATTTTGGACATCTTGAAATTTGTTTCTAAGTCAACCACCTTAGAAATGAAGTGGTTTAGAGTATTCATATTTGCTAATATGTTAAGCAAAATAGTTCCTCATAATAATAAACATTTAATCTATTTAGCAATTGTTTTTTTACTTTGAATTATTTAAATCCCAGATTTTAAGTATTTTACTTATATCTAAGCAACTGTGCAGTCAACTTTAAATAACAGAACAGTAATGAAATGGTAGGAGATGGGAGGGTAAAGCATAAGATGAGTTAATGTAAATACTTTTAGAGATATTCTAAATATTTAGGTCTGAGAAGTTCACATTTTGCAAGCCAGTTTACCTTTCAGTTCTTGAAAAAGGCATGTTTCTTTGTTACAAAATAATCCACAGTGGGGCAGCAAGGAGCTAACTAGATGCATGACAAAGGGTGTGATAAGCAAACATAGTGTTAGATGCGAAGGAAGAACATACTTGAGAGAATTCAAAACATCCATTAATTTTTTTTCTACTCAAGATATATTTGTTCAGATAAACCAGGTGAATTGGAGATCCTCTGCCCTTTCTAATATGAAATCTTAGGATATCTTTTTATCAGTCTGTAAGATTCATGGTTCATAATTTGACCTGCACTAAAATCAAATAAAAGAATGTGCTTATAAAGGACGTGGGGTTAAACTGGCCTGCAAAGAACACTATTTACTTGAGAGCATGAAGGACTTTTGTTTGTGTATTTAAATTGCCTTTTATTTAAATAGCTTTTTAAAATGGCATATCTTTGACTTTCAGGGAAAGGCGTAGGAGGAGGAGCAGGAGTTCTTCCAGATCCCCAAGAACATCAAAAACCATAAAAAGGAAATCTTCTAGGTCTCCATCTCCTAGAAGGTACGTTGAAAGCATATGCTAAAACTAATGAGGAAGAGGGGGGTGGATTTTTCTTTAGTCTCTATGTTTCTGAATGAAAAATAAACATTTGCATGGTTCAGAGATCAAAACAATATGAAAAATAACACACTGATCTTCATTTCCACCCACGTGCCCATCTACTCTGTCCTCCTAAGTAATGACTTTTGTTTTTTGTATACCCTTCCTGTTTTTTAAATGTATACGTAAACAAGGTGAGACTGTGTAATTTTTTATTTTCCTATTTATTTTCCTATTTCTCATACAAGAGTTAGTACAAAACAGACACATGGTACTGCTGTGCTCTTGCTTTTGTCATTTAACTATCAGATCTTTCCATCTTTTTCAGAGAGTGCTGCTTCATTAATTTTCACATGCACCTTTCATTGTATGATAGTACCTTAGTTTAACCAGCCTGCAGTAGAATGCATTTTCTTAATTTTTCTGTTATAAACTATACAATACTGTAATGAATAGGTTTGGACTTAGCTCATTTTGTAGTGTGCAAGTATGTTGGAAAATTTTCCAGAAATGGTAATGTTGAGTCGGAGGATTGTATTCATAATGTTGAGAGATATTTCTGTGTTGCCCTCCCTAAGGATTGGCAGCACCTTGTCCTTTAACCAGCTGTGTATGAGGGTGCCTGTTTTCCTACAGCTATAACAGGTTATGTAATCAAAAGTTGTGGGTTTTTTGTCTGCCTGATAGATGAGAAATGGTACCAACATGAAGTAATTTTAGTTGCATTTCTCTTAAGTGTGAAGGTGGGCATCTCTTTGTATATATGAAGGCCATTTGTACTTCCTTTCCTGTGAATTGTCTGTATACTTTGCCAGTTTTCCGGTGGAGTCTGTTTTCTGTTATTTTCAGGAACTCTTTTTCTATTAGGGAGATGATTATTTAATGATTTGATACCAAGTATCATTCCTAGTTTGTCAGCTTATCTTTCTAAGTTACTGTTTCTAAGTTGACCACCCTTACAAATGAAGTAATTTAGAGTATGCATACTTGCTAGTATGCTAAGCAAAATATTTTTAAATAATGAATCTATTTAATAACTATTATTTAATTGGTCATAGTTAAATACCAGGTTTTAAATACTAATTTGTTTTTAATTTTTATATAATTCAGTTTCTCAAGTATTTTTCCTTTACGATTTCTAGATTTTGTCATAAATTTAGAAAGGTATTTTCCTAATTCTAGGATTAAGTGGAATTTCCATTTTTTCTTTTATAATTTTATTTTTACTTTTATATTTTTGATCTATTAGGAGTTAATATCACTTTATCAACAACTCAATTTTTCTAACACTAGTTTGATATGTTGCTTTTGTCATGTACTAAATTTTTCTGTTTGGGTCTATTTCTGGACCTTCTATGCAAGCAATTTTCAACCTTTTTCATCTTACGATAGACATAAACTAATTATTAAAAATCCACTTTTTTTTTTTTTTTTTTTTGCTGATCTGACAAAATAATGTATTTTTTGCTGATCTGACAAAAAAAATGGGTGTAATTTTGATTCATTCACACCAGACAGCTATTGTAGTGTTGGCTGTTGTCAGGTTTTTTTGTTTTTGATTTTTGATTTTTTTAATTTGGATAATCTAAAGGAAAAGAGGTCAGTACCCCTTACTAAATAGTCAGATATTACCTGGTTTAAAAATTCTCACAGCACACTGGTTGAAAATTGCTAAACTAGGCTGTTGGATTGGTTTGACTGATAATTTGTGTACCAGTGCCCCATGGTTTTAGCCATTCAGACTGCATAGTATTTCTTAGTATCTATCTAATAAGGCCTGTTCTCCACACTGCCCATTGCTCTTTTTAGAGCTTTTCTGACCATGCTTGTATGTTTATTTTTCCATTTGAACAGAAGAATCAGTTGTGTAGGTTCTAGAAATAAAACCTATTGATGATTTGTATTACAAGTGCATTACATTTATCAATTAGAAAATGTATAAGTAGCTTTATTAATAAATAAAACTTATGATGGTGAATCTTTCTATCCAGGAACATGGTATATCTTTCTGCTCATTCAGGCCATCTTTAGTGTTTTTCATCTTTCGTCTCATACAGATTTTATGCATATTCTAAATTCATTTTTAGGTATATTTTACTTTTTTTTGTTGTGTTTGTAAATGAGGTCTTTCATTATGTTACCTAATTGGAGGTTGTGTTTGTACATAGGATGGTATTTATTTTTTTTATCCGACTGCCTTTCTGATATGTCATAGTTTTTCCATTGGTTTTCTAAGCTTAGAAAAGAGAAATTTATAAAAAGCTTTGTCGGAGCGTAAGAAGCATGTTTCCCAGTAGGGATATTTTGTTTGTGGGTTATTTGTTTTTAGGTGAGACTAATGGAAGGTATAGGATACTATAGAGATAGCTATATTTTTATTGGAAAAAAAACTTTGCTTATGAAAGTCGAGACTTTTCTTAGTTGTGAACGCAAATTAGACAAAAGGGTAGTATTCACAAAGTGCAACTCCCTTCCCTATTTTCTTTACCTAGCTCCCCCTTCATCCTCTGTAAGTGATTGTTTATTTTATTGTTCCATTCTTTTTGTAAAATTGAGTAGATACATATATTTTAATTTCTCCTGTTTTCACAGAAGATAGTATATAAGGTATATGCTCTGTGTGTGTATATGGTCACTGACTGCACCCAACCCTACCTTCACCTAGGTTATTTTTTTTAAATGAGAAATAATTCACTTATTTTAAAGTTTACTCTTTTTAAATATGCAATTAAGTGGTTGTTAGTATGTTCACAATGTCCTGTAACCATTACCGCTATTTAATTGTAGAACTTTTTAATTATTTTTATTATTAATAAAAATTAATGTTGTTTATTATTAAATGGTTAAGAAAGCCCATAACCATTTGTAGTTATTCCCCATAGCTCCTGAGAGCCGCTAATTTATTTAGTGTCTCTGGATTTGCCCCTTCTGGGCATTTCATTTTTGGATTCATACAATATGTGTGGTCTTTTGTATCTGGCTTTTTGGGCTAATGTTTTCAAGGTTAGATTCATGCATGTTGTAGCACGGATTGGTATTTCATTCCCTTTTTTGGGTGAATGATATATGACTGTGTGGATAAAAAACATTTATCCGTTCTTAGTTGACAGACATTTAGTATTATTTCTGTTTTTTGGATATGGAAAATGCTGCTTTGAATATTCATGTACAAGTTATTGTGTGGATATATTTTCATTTTTCCTGGGTTTACTAGGAGTGGTAATTGCTGAGTCATAAAAACTTTATCTTTTTGAGAAACTGCCAAATTGTTTTCCAAACTAGCTTGCCATTTTATATTCCCTTCCGCCATGTACAACAGTTCTAGTTTCTCTACATGCTAACTGATAACTTGTTCCTGTTTGCTTCTGATTATAGTCATTCTAGTGAGTGTGTAGTGGTATGTCATTGTGGTTTTGTTTTGCATTTCATGATTAGTGATGTTGAGCACTTTTTTCATGTGCTTATTGGCCATTTGTATATCTTAAAGAAATGTCTATTCAAGTTTTTGTACATTTTGAATTGGGTTGTGTTTTGTTCAGTGGATATTAATTTTTTTTACCAGATACATGATTTTAAAATGTTTTCTTCCATTCTGTGGGTTGTCTTTTTACTTCCTTGATAGTATCCTTTGACGTACAAAAGTTTTATAATTTTGATGAAGTCAGATTTATTTTTCCCCTTTGCTGCTTGTCCTTTTGGTGTCAAGAAATCATTGCTAAATACAGTGCCATGAAGGTTTTTCCCTATGTTTTCTTCTAAGACTTTCTTAGTTTTAGCTTGTATGTTTGGTTCTCTGATCCATTTTGAGTTCATTTTTATATGTGGTATAAAGCAAGGATTCAGTTTCAACTTGCATATAGCTACGCAGTTTTCCCAGAACAATTTGTTGAAAAGGTTGTCCTTTCCCTATAGAATGAGTCTTAGCACCTTGTAAAAAAAATTATTTGACCATATATGAGTTTATTTCTGGGCTTTCTACTCTATACCATTGGTCTATATGTCTGGTCCTTAATGCCAACTTTGTTCTTAAGATTGTTTTGGCTATTTGATATCCCTCAAAATTCCATATGAATTTTAGGATGGGTTTTTCTGTTTCTATTAATTACACTGATGGGATTTTCATAGGGATTGCACTGAATCTGTAGATCACTCTGAATAGTCTTGTCATCTTTACAGTATTTAAGTCTTCCCCATGAACATGGATGTCTTCCCAAATATTTGTCTTTATTGCCTTCTTGGTTAAGTTTATTCCTAAGAATTTTATTCTGTTTGATGCATTTGCTCCCTTGACTTTAAAGAGTTATGTATAAAGATACATGTACATACAAGTATGTTGCAAATGTATTATGGGGGGGGTTGTCATTTTTCTTCTGAATATGCTAATGTTGGTATTTTGGCTTTGCAAGTTTATATAGACAGTCTTTACTTTTAGTGGACCTGAAATTTTAGTTATGGTTAAAAAATCTTTTTCTTCACCTACATTAAAGAAATTCACCCATGTTTTCTTCTAGTAGTGTGTTGTTTTATTTAAAATATTTAGGTCTCAAACACATTTGGATTATTTATCTATGTGGAATCAGATATGGATCCAATTTTATCACTTACCAAATAATAATCCAGTTGTCTCCAAACCTGTTATTTATAAAAAAAAAAAAATCTTTTCCCCAGTGATGTGAGATGCCAGTTTTGTTATATTAATTTTTCATATGAACTTGGATTTGTTTCCTAGGTGTCTGTATTTGTTTCAGTGGTCTTTGTGTTTATTTTTAAACTGTTCATAATTAAGAGACAAAAGTTTAGAATTCCACATCAGGGCAATTTTGGGTGGAAGCTATTTGTTATGCTTCTTCTGTGAAATGGATTGTTTTATTCTCTTTAACTTTTTTTTTTTTTTAAGAGAGGGGAAAGGAGGGAGAAAGAGAGGGAGAGAAACGTAAGTGTATGGTTGCCTCTTGAGCACCCCTTACCAGGGACCTGGCCTGCAACCCAGGCATATGCTCTGACTGGGAATCAAACTGGTGACCCTTTGGTTCGCAGTCCAGCGCTCAATTCACTGAGCCATACCAGCCAGGGCTATTCCCTTTAATTTTAAGGGTACTTTTTTTTTTTCTTTCTTTTTAAATAAATGAAACTTGCTCATTCCATCTTCTGCTTTACTTTTGCTCTTGCATTGGTGGGGCTTCTTTGTAATGGTGCATGATGAGGACACGTGGCACAAAAAGTTATTTGAAATTCCAGTTTTGCTAGTAGTCCTGCCTGGCAGCCACATCTGATTCTTTTCTCTTTTCATTACTTTCTGCTTATTCATTTTTTGCTGTGAAAATGTGGGTTTAAAATGTATATATTTGTTTGTTTATATTTTATCCTAATTACAGCAGATAACTCTTGAGTGTTTAATAACTAATGAATTGACAATACCACATTTGTTTTATGTGAACACAGGTAGCCTTTGCTAAAATGACTTGTATATCTTTAGAATGTTAGAGTGTGGGTAGAGTAGATGAGGTATAGGTCTCATTTATGTTACTTGGTCAAACTAGGTACGCTTATGTACAATGCTTTAGTATTAGGTAAGAGTATTTTGTTATAGCAGGTCTTTAATTTCTTAGAAATTAATTGACATTATCACTATTCTTACAGCAGAAATAAGAAGGATAAAAAGAGAGAAAAAGAGAGGGACCATATCAGTGAGAGAAGAGAGAGAGAACGTTCAACTTCTACAAGAAAGAATTCTAATGACAGAGATGGGAAGGAAAAATTGGAGAAGAACAGTACTTCACTTAAAGTAAGCAGTGGTCATTCAGTGTTTAGACTTTGAATAATTAATAATTGAGGTGGTTCTTTGTTGCATAGAAGTAGTTTTAGGCTAAAAGCTCCTTGAAGACAACAAATTTTTTTGGTATTTTCTCATATTTGTTAAATTGACAATTTTTTTAAAAACTAAATTTTGAAGGGATGAGGTAAAGCTAATTGAAATTTAAACAATCACATTTCTTATTTTAGAGAATCATAGAATGGCATACAATAAGAAAAAACTTAGACTACCTGTAACAGATAATGTTTGATTTTATACTAAGATTTCTACTTGATACCATTTTCCTCACTAAATTTGAGCAAATTTAACAGTTCTGTCATTACTGATTTTGTAATATATACTGAAATAAGGTTTGTAGAATTAGAGCAATTAATGGAAAACCAAATTCGGTCAAGTAAGGGTTTTTGGATGACTATTCTAAGAGCTTGTGAATTATGTTAATTTCTATGTTATACTGGTATAATTTGTATTTGAAAATCAATTATGAATTCTGGAGCTTTTATCTTAACAGTTTTATTTACTCTTATTCTGATAATAGTTTATCATCGTCAATAACATTGATAACCTGGATTTCTTGAGCACTTGGTATGTGCTAGGCAGTATTCCACATGTTCTCATTTAATTTTCCCTTAAGATGGTGGCAGAATTTGGACTGTTCTTGGACAGTCTTTGTTAGGAGGAACAGTGATTTCCTTTTTTACATTCCCTTATTTTTGTTTCCTTGGAATTCAGATTACGCATCTGTCCTGGCATCCCAGGGAACTGTTTTACCTTTTTAGCATATCTGTCATACTTTTTGAAGTCAGTAAACATTTATTGAACACTTCTTAGACTGCCTGTTGATCTATTTTATTCTAATTTAATTCTCAAGGGTTGTCCGACTTTTAGAAGAAGTACAAGAGATATATTGATAATGTTTGTATATTCTATTTATATGAAAAGGTAATGGGAGAAAATACCCAGTTTTATTAATTCACAAAACATAAAATTACATATTTTAGCCATAAGCAGAGGTAGTAGCAGGCAACTCTTGAGAAAAATAATAAATGTATATCTTAATACTTATCATAGGAGAAGGAGCACAATAAAGAACCAGAATCAAGTATGGGCAAAGAAGCAGACGACAAGGATGCACCTAGGACTGAGGAAAACAAAGTACAGCAAAATGGGAATTGTCAGCCAAATGAAGAAAACCTCTCTACCAAAACAGAAGCGGTATAGGACCAACAAATGCACCTCTAAACACACGCTGGAATAAAATCCAAAGCTTTTAATTCTCTTAACAAGATGTTAAACAGTGAAGAAATCCAGTTGAGCATAAATATATGAGCTAACAACTGTTCTAGTTGTTAGGTGACCTTGTGGCCATCTTGTTACTGAGTAAGAAAATAAAGCATGGACATCATGAAAATAACAGATGTTACCCAAACTCATCTTGTAAAATCTGTGCATTTCCATGGTGGCTGACACACTTGTCATGTGGTTCGTTAGTGTTTGCCAAGAACCATTACAAATAAATGGGACATTAAAGATCCAAATTTGTACTATCCATAAAGACTGGAGACAAGCATTGGAGGCTCTTTTAAAAAGTTCTAGTTACTGAATTTTGTATTGTTTTACCTTTTTTTTTAATTTCAATATATACAAATTGATGATGTGCTTGAAATCGGTGCAAATATATACCCACCCTTGTAAGTGCAGAATACGTAAGAAGTGTTAACACTTACTTCACAGGATTTATAGTGATTGTGTTAAATTCTCACTATTGCGTTTTCTTTTTCTCACTGTTTAGGACAGCAGTTTTTCTTTAAAATAGTTTTACAGATTAAAATTGCTTAAATAAGTGGATTAAAAAACAACCTTCAATGCATGCTACTACTGTTCTCTTTCCACAGAAAGAATGACTGTGTTGAATACTAATAATAATGTATTAGTATTCAGTGTTTAGAATCATTGGATTTCCCCACAAAATAAGCACTTCTTTTTTTAACTTTCTTGACATTTCCAAGCTTATGAATAATATTGCAGTGTGTGTTGTCAGCGGTAGGTGGCAAAGGTGTCATTATAAAAAGAAAACTTGGGTTTTCAAAATGGGCTATGGGAGCACAAGCTGAAGCTTTAGTGCCTTCTACAATGTGGTATACTGTTTTCTAGAATTTTATATGTGCTAGTCATTCTCAAGTCATATGGAATTGAGATGGATATTCCATTCACTCCCATAGAGAAGTGTGTAAGTAATATATCAGAAGAGCTTCTTATTTAGTTCACCTAACATGAGAGGGAAGTCCTGTTTTCAAGAATGACTTTAGAGCTTTTAAAACAACAGTGCAGTTTTGGGACCATCAGTTTTATACTGTGATAATTGAAAATGAAGCATGTTCTTAATTTACTTTAAGCAAACCCTTTAGTTGTCTACATGGGATGGCCTTAATTATTACCTCTCAATCATCTTCTCTATAAAGATGTTGTACAGAAATTGTACTTAAGGGAGAACACATGAGGTGGTTTTATGTTTAAGGATATGTTTACTTGGATTAAGAGACAGGTCATCCATCATTCATAGGTTCACTTTTTGAAAAAAGTATGCAAGTAGTAAAATGACAATATTGCTAATATTTCCCCCCCATACTATAACTCATGGTTTCAAAACTCTTTTCATTATTGTTACGTTTCCAAAAAAGTTATCTGTTAATTAGCATGTTACTGAAAAATCAAGTATAATTATTTTAATACAATCTAATACAATCAAATTACTCAGTTGCCTTACCTCATGGGAAGAGTTACTTATAGATTTAAAAAGCTGGGTAGCACATCAGTTACTTGGTTTCAACCTGAGTTTTCTTTTAATGTTAATACTATTGAAACTTAAGTATTTGGTGGAGAATGGAAAGAATTGCCCTTATTGCAAATAATGAAGCCTGATTTGATTATGAAGCTGCTTAATTACTCTTCATGTGTCCAGAATTACTGTGGTATTTTTTCTTTTTGTCACTGTGTACATTAAAATTTTTGAAAATGCTTTACTATGTAAAGTATAGATGGTCATTTTAATCATTCAACCACATACGGTTGGCTGGTAAACAGCTTATTCTGATACAAGAATGCTTGGTGAATATGGAAAGATCGTGAAGGAGTACGTATGTCTAGCATCAACAGTTGTCTTATTTATGATATGTAAGTAGAATAGAGCAAATGTTTGAATCTTTGTTATTTTTAGTACCATTTCTCTAATAAAGCTAAGTATTTTAGAGGAAAGTATTTGTTTATGCATTTCAAAATAGCATCTTAATTTTATCCTGTTCTTTTTTATATTTCTATAGAAGTTATTTTCACATGGAGTGCATGTTTGTGTGGTGTCTGTAAAACAATCATTTAAAGTTTGAGGTGTTTTCTTGTACTCTGGACTCTATTAAATGTTTTTTATGTTATAATTAATATATTTAATTTGGGTCCTGCTGTTAATTATTTTTCTTGCTGATATTTAATCAGCTTTAAAATAATGAAAGATAGTGATTTGTAAAAGGTGGGCATAAGTAGGAATGCAAGAGGTCTGGAGAAAGTGAAATCATTTTCTTAAATTAGGGCTTATGGAAGCAAAACTTTCTAGGGTGTATAGATACTGGGGTGTGTGTGTGTGTGAGAGGGAGGGAGACTTTTTCTCTGTTCACTATGAGAGCTAATATGTTTCCATTTGTTATTTTCTTTCAAGGTATTTTGTTTTTTTCTTTAAGATTATTCTTGTTTATCCCAGGTAGATACTGTCAGAAAAACTTGAGGTAAGGCCAAGAAGACAGCCATTTTATACTTGAAACCTTATGTAATTATCTTTTTTAGCTTGACCACACAGAGAATACACTCTGTTCTTTAAATTGTAATTGCTCTTCATTATTCTGGACAAATTCTGTTGGCCCTCTTGTTCTTGCTTTTCGGCAGTGAACACTAAAATGATAATATAAAATGTCCTCCATAAGGTAGCCAGTTTCATGTGAGAAAACAAGTATAAATCTTTGTTTTCCAACTTCTGCAACCATCTCCTTAGTTATTTTCCATCTGTTACAATTGCAAATACTAGTCATCTTGTGATTTCCTGTTTAGAATTTTGTTTTTCAAGAGGTTCACTGTATACCACCTTGATCTTCAGAAGTGTCAGTGACTTAAATTTTGACATGCTCAATAAAAATTTTTAAAAAAACCCTTGACATTTAGAATCAGTATTTTGTCAACAAAATAGTATCTTGTGATATTAGTCAATCAGGATCCCCACTCATTCCTATATATGTTACTATCATCTTAAAACTTAAAAAAATTCAGATTTTTCAACTGAAGATAATATTCAAATTTAAGGATTATAATACATATACAGGCTTTTTAAAATTTTAAAAAATCTATTAGAAATAATATTTGATTTAAATGCTTAATAGTTGAATTAGCAATTAAAGAGAATCCTTTTGGAGGGATGCATTGAATAACTTAAAATTTCAATTAGTCCTTATATTTTCTTTAAAAAATACTATATGAATTTAATTGGGCAGGCATAGTGTAGAGCCATTTCAGCAAAGTAATTATGTTTCTTTTAAATATTTAAAAAATTTCTTGCTACTTATATACTTAATATTTTCTTTATTAATCATTTAAATTGCTTTCAAATTTCAAAAGCGCTCTTAAAAATGGCTAAATTACATTTCTGAAAGCAAGAGTCCAGTATAAATGTAATAAATTAATCTTCTCAAATAGACTTCCCTGCTTAATCTTGGGTTTGTGGGTGAATTTGTTTTCCTTAGTGCATTTTTATTAATGATTCTGCCCAAAGACATACATTATTTCAAAAGTAAAAGTAAAGCTATTAATGACTTTGTTCTATATTCTATTAGGTTGGATTTAATAGCTCATGATTTTTTCCCCATTTTATTTTAAAGTACTTTAATAGTTTCTAACAGTTTATTATAATTATTAGTTTATTTCTAATCTAACATTCCTTAATGCATTGTTTTTAAAAGCAGGTTAGTAGTCTGTTGCCTGATTTTTAAATTTACTTGTACCTAGCTAACAGTTTTGAAAATTGCCAGCTTCTGGGAAGCTTCACGTTATTTTCCCAGGACTGGAATGAATAGTTCCCTTCATTATTAACCTTTATTTATTAGATAATTTCTTAACCATATTAAGTTCAAATTCATGAAACCCATACTGAAGAATTAGAGTTGAGATTGAGTTCTACTAGTTTAAGGTTACGGGTAGGCAAAAATATTGGGGAACAATCTAAAGAATTCCCTAATTTCTACGGAAGATTACATTTTGGTATACTGTGTAGTTGTATAGGTAGTTCAGTTTAATGTTAAGTATTACTCTCCTTAATCTTAATTAGGTTAATACAATGGTGTTCTTTACATAATACTATGGATTATCAAGGGAAAAGTTTAAAACGTAAACATGAAGATGCTGCATAGGTGGTGTGTGTTGTGAGTAGGACTACTAAATGGTACTAGTAAAGATTTATCAAATGATGCTGCTATTGTGTTAATATATTTTTAATAAAATGAAACTCTTAAAACCTTGCCAGTCTTGAGTAGTAATTTCACTTATTTCCAAGACATTCATTTGTATATTTAGGTTTTGTTTTGTTTTTTTAATTCATAGAATGGGGGAAAGAGGGAGAGAAACACTGATGTGAGAGAAACATTGATCGGGTTGCCTCTTGCACATGTCCCAGCCTGGTACCTAATCCGCAACCTAGGCATGTGCCTTGACTGGGAATTGAACTGGCAATCATTTGTGGGATGAACCCCAACCAGCTTGAGCCACACTGGTCAGGGCCAGCTTGTTTTTATAACAAAGGTGGTAACAGGCTGTTCCTGGGTTTCAAAATTACTACCAAATACAGATATTGAACATTGGCCAGTGTTTGTGTTCTCTGGCAGTAACTTTAGTCAAAGCCTTTTCATCTTAAACAGTTTGTAGTATTCTAGTGATAGTTGATTTTGGAATCTCCCTTTTGTTTTCAGAATCAGCTTCTTAATTTATACAGTGAGAATTGTCACTGCTTGTCTGTTAGCAGTTGCAAGTGCAATGCCTTCTTCCCTTTATCAGAACTGTAGCTCTTCATCTGGTGAATGAGCGGTGGATGAGTGGTGTGTTGGGGTGGTCGTTTATGTGAGACCATGTCCTCTCTTAAAAAATAAATTAGCTATCAGATACGTAAACTTGAATTCTGCATGACTTGATGGCTTAAATGGTCCACCAGAGATGATGGGGCTATACACCTGTATGCATTCATTTTTCTATATAGGCCAGCTGTGGTTAAAGGCCATTAGCCATTTTGATTTCCAAATGTGCTAAACTGCATGTGTGGGGTTGGTGTGGGGATGAGAGAGGAGAGAGCTTTAAAGAGTACCCCTTACCAGCAGTGAGTTTGTGTGACCTCTACAGGACTTTGTAGAGGAATGCCAGGTTGAAGTACAAACTATTTGACAGCAGACTTTATGCTATGTTGTATTATTTTTAGGAATGATTACTAAATAGTTGAGCGTAGTGATAGTACATTTTGTTTTTATAATTTCCTTTTATTAAAAAATTTATTGATTTTTACGTTTTTGAGAAACATCCATTTGTTTTAGATTATTTATGCATTCATTGATTGATTTTTGTATGTGCCCTGATCAGGGATCGAAACTGCAATCCTGGCACATTGTGACGACACTTGAACCAACTGAGCTAGCTGGCCAGGGCTAATTACCATTTTCTTAGGAAAAACATTCTAAGATTCACTGAAAAGAGTGAAGTGTTTTGTTTTTTTTTTAAACAGTAAACTAAACCTTAATAGCCACAGTGTGATAATCAGAGGTGGTAAATGGACTCAGTTACATAGGCATGACCTCTAGTACTGCATTTCCCTTTCCTGAGCTGCAAACTTAAATTTCCAACTACCTTCTCATTAGTGTAGCACGTGACAAAGCTATTATAGTACTGCATATCTTAATAGAAGCACTATACATTTAGCCTGTTCCAAATGAAACATTTAATTCAATTTTATTATACCTCTGCTATTATTTTTCATAGGAATTGCCATCTATCTAGTTCTTCACTGCCACTTTTCATTTCTGTCTTTACTCTCAATCCCATTTGCCAAGTCTTCCTAGTTCTGCATTTCCTCTACAATATTTAGACACACCCTTGTATCACTCCTGATGGTCAGTTACATGAAACAATCTGCTCTAGCAGTAAGGTAATTATGGTGTCAGAATTAAGTCCTTTTTCCTTGTAGTCTATTTCTGTAGCCTACTAATTTGTCTTCCAGTCTCAGGACTTTTTCCAAATTCATTTCAACATGCTGGGTTTTTTTCTTTTAAGATGGATGGCTCAAGTAGGGCTTAGTTGTCCCTAACTCCATTTGAAACAATTTTGTTAGACTATTGTGACAGCTGTCAAATCAGCATGTGTTTAAAAAAAAAGATGCATTTTTGTGTAGCCATTTTAATATCGAAGATGGAAGAAAGTATTTTTGGCACATTTTGCTTTATTTTTTAAGAGGTAAAAATGCAACTGAAACAAAAAAATTGTGCCGTTTATGGCAAGGTGCTGTGACTGGACGTGTCAAAAGTGGTACACAGAATTTTACGCGGGAGATTTCTCACTGGACGATGCTCCACACCAGATCAGTTGAAGTTGACAGCAATCAAATCGAGACATTGAGAACAATCAACATTATACCACGTGGGAGATAACCGACATACCCAAAATATCCAAATCAATAAAATTACTGCTGAAAATGAAAAATGTGTCTCTTATTTTACTGAAAAAACCATATGGACTTTTTGGCCAACGCAATATGTTGCTAGTTAGTTAAATTTCTTTAAATTGTTCTGTAGTTTTGTAATGCCTTTCTGGTTTTGGTATATGGGTCATGGTGGCTTTCTTCCATAAATCCTAGGTGGAGTTTCCCCATGAAGTCAACCAGAACCTGGAATTTCCTTTTTACATTACAAATTCAATATTAAAATAGATTTAGGGTTACTTATGTCATTTATTCTAGAGTACGCTTTGGTTCTATGTGTCTTCAAAGAAATTTGTCCATTTTGTTAAATTTACTGGCATAAGCTCATGATACTTTCAATACATGTTAGAGCCTATAGTAATATTCTTTTTTTGGTCATTTGTTTTATTTTTAAGATTTTACTTATTTTTAGAGGGAGAGGAGGGAGAAAGAGGGAGAGAAATCAGTGTGTGGTTGCTAACCATGTGCCCCCTACTGGGGACCTGGCCCACAACCCAGACATGTGCCCTAACTGGGAATTGAACCAGTGACCCTTTGGTTCATAGGCCAGCACTCAATCCACTGAGCCACACCAGCCAGGGTTGGTAATGCATTTTATTGTTTTTCAATTATATTTCGTTCATTATGCTATTAACAGTTGTCCTGATATTTCCGCTTTGCCCCCCTCCACCCAGCACCAGCTACCCCCTCAGGCATCCCCCCACCATTGTTCGCGTCCATGGGTCATGGTATAAGTTCTTTGGCTACTCCATTTCCTACACTGTACTGTACATCCCCATGGCTATTCTTTACCTATTTTACTACTTAATACCTTCACCTCTTCACTCATTCTCCCCCACCCACCTCTTGTGTAGCAATCATAAAAACGCTCTCTGTATCCATGATTCTGTCTCTGTTCTTGTTTGCTTAGTTTTTTAGATTCAATTGTTGACAGATATGTCTTGCCATTTTATTGTTCATAGTTTTGATCTTTTTCTTAAGTCCCTTTAACATTTCATATAATAATGGTTTGGTGATGATGAACTCCTTTAGATTGTTTGTGTCTGGGAAGCTCTATCTGCCCTTTGATTCTAAATGATAGCTTTGCTGGATAGAGCAATCTTGTCTGTAGGTCCATGCTTTTCAGGACTTTGAATATTTCTTGTCAATCTCTCCTAGCCTGCAAAGTTTCTTTTGAGAAATCAGCTGACTGTCTTATGGGAACACCTCTGTAGGTAACTAGCTGCTTTTCTCTTTTAAGATCCTTTCTTTAACATTTGACATTTTAATTATGATGTGTCTTGGAGTGGGCTGCTTTGTGCCCATCTTGTTTCAGACTCTGTGTTTCCTGGACTTGTATGACTGTTTCATTCAAAGTAAGGACATTTTCTTTTGCTATTTTTTCAAGCAGATTTCCAATTTCTTGCTCTTTCTCTTCTTCTGGCACCCCTACAATGAGAATGTTGGACCTCTTGAAGTTTCCCAGAGGCTGCTTATACTATCTTCATTTTTTTGGATTTTTTTTCTTCTTGTTCTGATTGGTGGTTTTTTGGTTCCTTATGTTCCAGATCATTGATTTGATTCTCGGCTTCATCCACTCTTCTTTTGTTTCCCTGTAAATTGTTGTTTCAAATAGTGTATCCTTTGT